GAATACAATTGAAAATGATCCATCCCCGATCATTGGGTATGCTGCTGAGCCTATATTGCCACTTCCTGTAGCATGTGCTCCACTCTTTGATATTCTTCATAATTTGTCGTTTTATGTGCAGTTGGCACTAGATGAAACTCCCGATAAACCACCACATGGTTTAACAGTTCATGAAAGTGCTGCAATTCGTTTATATACTCTCGAATGGGAAGCACCACATAAAAGTCTCTATTCAATGCTCAATTACACTCTTAAATTTAGTAATCGTGAAGAACTTCTACCTTATTTCAAGTATATGAAATTATTCTTGACTGCACTAGTCAAAATTCCGTGTGAGCCAATTACAACTATTTGGCGAGGAGTTAAAAAAGATTTGAGTGCAGACTTGCAACCTGATACTCCACTGACATGGTGGTCATTTTCTTCATGTACAAAATCACTGACTGTACTCGAGAATAGCATGTATTTAGGGAATCTAGGAGAGCGAACTCTTTTTTCTGTCGAAGCCATCAATGGACGAATAATAAGCGCTCATTCACATTTCGATACAGAAGATGAAATTCTTCTTCTACCCGGCACTCATATGATCGTTGTATCTCAATTGGCTCCATCACCTGACCTTCATATCATTCATTTGAAACAAGTTGTACCGGAGGAAACCTTGTTGGAACTTCCATTTGAAGGTAACACTATACTATAAAGATGTCAGATTGATGTTCGAAAAATGCCAGATATTTCTATTTTTAGGCGCAGTTCTCTATCCAAAAAAAAAGTGAGTTTGATTTCATATCTAATCAAACGTTTTTTTTCAATCAACGAGTTGTGATTATATGTTTAGACGGTCCTGGTATCAAAAGAAGCGATATCTTATATCCTTATGCTTATTTATAATTCTATCGATCGGAGCTATTGTTATTGGTGCTGTTCTCGGATCACGAAAAGCAAACGAAATTCCAAGTATACTTTGTTTTTCTAATATTATTCTTATTAACATTTGAAATAAGATATCATACTCTAATTTGTATCACACATAGATCGAAGAGATATTAGTGACCAGTTGATTCGTTCAGATCTAATACCAATTTCACTGATCTAGCAGTCCAAATTGGTCCATAAGATAATAGCACTTTCTTCTATGTTTTTGGAAATCAATTTCAATAGAATATTGTTGAGCAACTTTCATGAGAAAAAATCGATAAAATTACCGTTCAAAGCAGATTTTTAACAAAGAGAAGCGTTGTTTTATGGGTAGTTCAGTTTCGACCGGTAGGCAGACTACTAGAGCGACGCCAGTATTGTTCTGAAAAAAACTAGACCGGCTTCATCTATGATTGAAAGTTTTGACATTGAATTATAAGTGACTTTCAGTGATCGATTCGCATCAAGTTGTCTGGACTATATCAACCATGAAGAGTTTATCAAGAGATAAATGTTTTTAAAAATATCATATGTGATCTCTGAGGATCTGGGCAATACGAAAATATTAATTGACACACAGATGGACAGGCAGTGACTTACCTGCACCCACATCTAAATCACTAAGCATATGCAAAACTTTATGAGTGTCTATCATCCATAAGAGAGTTTTTCTATATGATGATTCTAAGATTATTAGACGTACTTCTTCTATAAGAAACTAAAATGGTCAGATGTTTATTTTCATTTTTCGCCTGAGAATACAAAATTAATCTTAACATGAGTTTTCATTCTGGAAGATAAGATTTGTGAATATTTTACGCAACTGCAGCAATTTTTCAGATCAGTAAAACTGAATATAGTACACTATGATAAAATCAGGTCTAGATGAAACTTCACTTGTTTTCATTCCGACTTGTATAATTCGATATTGTGTGACAGCCGAGTTATTCCACAAAATTGAATAATAAGCAGAACCAAGTAGAAGAAAAATTGATACTATTTAATTCTGTTTTTCTAATAGAGATTATATGCAGAGATCCATATCCACAACAAATTGCCTCTCAGACTGGAAAAACACCAGTTGCTTTAGTAGCTGGTGATTTTAGAAATGTCGGCATAATCGATCTAGCAGTGCTTCACTATGATGAACAAAGCGTTGATTTACTTCTTGGTAATTTCAAGAACACATATCAGACTGAAATTATCTATGATACAGGTTCTGCTCCAAGTTTTGCATTCACTGAAGATATCAGCGGTGATGGATTGCCTGATATTATAATAACGAATAAAAAAGATGGAACAATAAGTGTTCTTCTTGATAATCCAGATGATTCATTTCAATCAACGACCACTTATGCAGTTGGCCAAAGTCCTGTATCAGTGGTAAGTGGTGATTTCACTGGTAACGGTGACTTTGATTTAATAGTCGCGAACTATGATGATAATACTCTTCGCTTGTTATTTGGTACGGCAGGTCGATTTTCTGAAATATTTCTTACTATTACAGTTGGTTTGCAACCAATCTATATCATATCAGGTGATTTTAACCTGGATGGAAGACTTGATTGGGCAGTTGTCAATTATGGAGATAATACTATACATGTTGGTATCGCACGTGGATTTGGAATTTTCGAAAATTCACAGATTTATAAGGTTGGTGATCATCCAGTTGCTATTGCAAGCACGGATTTAAACCATGATGAAATATTAGACTTGATTGTGGTAAACTATGGCAATAATAACGTAGGTGTGTTGCTTGGCAATGATGACGGAACGTTTAGAGCTCAAATATCTTACGATGTTGGTATTGGTCCTAATGCTATTGTTATAGCCGATTTCAATAATGATGCAAACATGGATATAGCATTAACTCTTTTGAATGAATCTGTTGTAAGCGTGCTCTTCGGAGATGGTAACGGAGGTTTTCGAAAGCCAGACAAGTTTAAAGTCGGTAGTTCTCCCAATTCTCTGACAGCAAATGATTTCAACAAAGATGGTATAATAGATCTAGCGGTGACTAATTCTGGAGAAAATACATGGGAGATATTGATTAATATGGGTAATGGAACATTTCGAAGTGACTTCCGTTATGCCAGTGGTTCGAATCCGGTGTCGATCGTTGCAGCTGATTTTAGTATCGATGGCTTGATGGATGTGATGGTAATCAGTCAAGGAGATAATATTGTTTCTCTAATATTAGGCAATGGAGATGGTACTTTTCGCTGTCGAATACCCTACAGACTTCAGATGCAAAGCACTTGGATGGCAACAGGGGATTTCAATGGAGACCGGAATTTAGATCTGGTATTGACAAATGCAAACAATCAGAGTATTAGCTTAATTTTTGGTAATGGACATGGCACCTTTCATTCTGAAATATCATATGAAATCAATGTTTCATCGTCTTTCATAGTAGCTCATGATTTGAATAATGACAATAAACTGGATCTAATTATTGTCGCTAACAAAAATGATAGCGTTATTATTGCGCTGGGTAATGGAGATGGAACATTTCAAAATAGAACAAGGATGAGAACTGGTAGTCAACCATCTTCTGTAGCAATACATGATTTCAACAACGATCAAATACTAGATCTAGCTGTGAGCAATTATGGCACTCAAACTATCAGCATCCTATTAGGACGTGGAAACGGTAATTTTCAGTTTCAAAAGACGTTTGAGTGTGGTGTTAATCCGAGTTTTGTTATATCGGCAGATTTCAATCTTGATCACAACATGGATCTTGCAACAGCCAATCTAGGAGAAAATAGTTTCAGTATTTTATTGGGCACAGGCAATGGAACGTTTCTAAGTAAAATTAGGTATCTTGCTGAAAGAGAACCAATTATGATAATATCGGATGATTTCAACGTTGATAACATTACCGATATAGCAGTAGTCAATCGACTTTCGGATAACGTAGAACTATTCTTTGGTGGAACAAATATGACGTTTTCAACTATAAAACACTATGGAACAAATGATAAACCAAACCCTGCAGTTGCCTATGATTTCAACAAAGATGGAAAAGTTGATCTTGCTGTGCTGCACACACTTTCTAACGAATTATATGTTTTTCTCAACCAATGTACATGAGTGCTCGTACGAGGACTATGGAGAAGT